CAGGTCTTATTTTATCCCAAAAACATTTTTTTGTACTATTTTAGTACCATATATGTATGTATGTAGGTATTTATTTATTCATTTTTTATGCATGCATTTTGACATTACATTCAGGATTACTGCACACATTTTTTAAAAATGTATTATCATTATGCAAAAAAAAAAGAAGTTTTTTTTATTTTATTATATTTCTTGATATTTATTTCAATTTAACATTTATTTGGATGCAATAAAATAAATACTACAATGATGAAAATTGGTAAATGTAATTAGCAAAATAACAATAAATAAACAAATAAATAAATAACTTATTTTAATAATAACAGTTTTAATTATGGGAATTTTAATTTTGGGGGTTAGAAATGTGCATAACTTTCATGAAAATAATGTCACATTAAAAAAAAAAATCCCCTTTTTATTTAAGCGAAATACGGCCGTTCACACATGCGATCATCGTGTGCATCCATGGCCCATTTCTCAAGCTTAAACCTCCCGCGGCGTATTTAGATCAGATGAAGAGGAGAATGGCGCAATGTTTGCCCGTTCACTAAACAAACGGCGTCGCGAATCAAGCAAAAGTCAACAGAGCGGCGCTCCAGAAACCTTGCAGCTGCGCGGCTCTGCTGAATGAGCTCAGCTCAGTGCGCCTGGCGATGGAGGACGGAGGATGGAGGGGGCGTTTTATGAAGTCCCTGGCACTCGAACTGCTCCATCCACTTTCCACTCCAGTCCAGACAGGCCACTTCCGGCATGAGATCAATGGGTGAGTGGGTGGACGGACATCAAAACCACACCATTACCAACCCGCTGCCAGTAGCACGACTGGAGACTCCCATCCATCTCCAGGACACACGTTAAACAATAAACGCACCGTTATTCATGACTTAAACACCCCAAAATCAGGCTAACATTGTTTAGAAGGGGTTAATGCTAAAACAGCAACCGAATGTGTGTCAGACTCAGACCTGACTCGTTTCTTCGTGCGCTCTATAATTACGGTTATTTATAAACTTGGATGGAGTGCGCACATTGGAAGCGGAGAAACTGCCAGCGAGCGCATCCAAGCGCTTTTCGCTCCGCTTTAACAATTTCCGTCCGCTCCTACCGCGCGCGTGCGTCATCCCGAGTCCGCACCGCAAACTCTGGCCGGTTCGCTTGATGCTTTCAAAGCGCCTTTTATCTTTCCCCTCACACACCCATAATGCATTGCTGTCAGGCCACTTTGGGGCACCTTCTAGATTAAAAGCCTGTCTTTACCGCAGCGAAACAGATGAGTGACCGGATCACGGTGGATGTTTCAGTAAATTAGGGAAGCATTCCGCTGCCATCTGCAAATCTTGCAGATTTTCGAGAGGAAGGCAGCTTCTGTGAACCTCATGTAGGGGAAAATGGATATAATTCTTCCCATCTGCTCGTCAATACTCATTAGTGGACGAATATGAAACCAATGGCTTCATGTTCATCCATTGCAGAAGAAAATCTAGAACTAGGCCTAATATAAGGCTATACAGAGTATCCACTGAATATTCACAAAGTTTGGTTGCAATAAAAAAGCAACATCATTAATATTGTGATTATTTAATGCACATTTGATAAATATGCTGTAGACGTTCTGCAATCCTTATCTCACAACTACAGAAAGCAAAAATGGTTTTAATAGCATCTCTTTAATCTTTAGTAACAAAACATTGCATTAGATTTAATGTTTTGGTATTTGAGTAACTGCACCTCCAAAGTGGATTGGTTCAAAATTTACAAAGTTGATGCAGAAAAAAATGGTTCGTTTATATGCAAAAAAATCATTATTAAAAAAAAATGCCTTTAGATTTATTTTTGCAAGGACTGTTTGTTTGAAATGACGATTTTTCTGGTCGAGGACAAAAACAACAGCGGAAAAAAATAAATAAACATTTATATATTTCAAATATTGTTGAAGGCCGAAAAAACATTGTGATTTTTTTAAACAACATCGTAAAAGTTTAAGTAAAATTAGATGTTGAAACAAATACTAAATTTGTTATATTAGTGCACATAAATAAATTAAATATAGTTTTATTTACTAAAAAAATAAATAGATAAATAAAGATGCCTTTATTTTGCAATTGACTATTTAAAATTATGAGAGAAAAAAAACATTAACATATATATGAAATGTAATTGAAAGCTGAAAAACAATGTGATTTAAGCTACATTGCAAATTTTTAGTAATAATATATGTAAAAAAAAATACTGGATGTAAATGAAATTAATAAATAATTCTTCATTGTGTTAATTTAGTTCAAACAAACAAAAAAAAAGCCTTTAGATTTATTTTGGACTGTTTGTTTGAATTGATCATTCCTCTGGTTGAGGACCAAAAACAACGTATTTAAGCCAGATCAGAGCAAACACATTACTTTTGAGATTACTTACTACATTACTTCATCTCAACTATCATAAAAGGCTGTAAAACATTGTGATATTTGTAAAGCTATTGCCCAGCCCTACTTCCAGGTCTCTCATTCAGTGGTTCCCATTCAGTTGTATGTCAGTGCACATATGGTGCAACAAAAAAAGCTTTGTGGGCCTCCCTCTCAACTTCACAATAACGCTTCAAAATAGAGACTGAAAAAAAGAACGAGTGAGAAAGAGTAAATAGGGTAGGGACACCCAACAGTCTAACACTCCTGGCAACCTGAATTTCCTATGACTACGTCTGCATTCAACATCGACTATCAACTTCCTGTTCACGTCTCCTAGTCACTGAAGAGTTTCTCAATGTGAACCCATCCCCTCTATTATACTGTTCACTGTCATGTCACATAAAGAACATTAATGCCAACATGAAACTCCCATGTGATGCATTTCTCTTAATGTGTAGTTAGGAGATCATCTTGAATTGACCGAATATTATCAGAAATTACCATGAAGATGAACATTTTTCTTTGGCGTGACATACACTGATGAATTGTTCGCAGTAAGACCAGGAACGTGGATTGAAAACGCAGATTTTGGTTTCATGTTGATGTTAAAAGGTTGTTCAATTCAAAAACGCTTCAGTTTTCTCATGCTGCATTCACAACCAAAAATAACTGTGAAAAACATTAAACACTAACACATCCCTGTTGAAAAAACCAGCATATGCTGGTTAGGTATGTTTTGATGCTGGTTTAAGCTGGTCCTTTGCTGGTCTTCTTTGGACATCATGATCTAAAGATTCATAATAGAAACCTGTCTGTGTGACTTCTGTGTATCTCTTTCATATTACTTTTTATATTTGCTCCGTTCATTTGTTGCTCATTTCATCAGTCACTGTCAAATCTTATGTTGTTGTGTGGTGTCTTATAAGGGAAAGTCTCCATCTCAGGGTATGCCTTTGCTTTCATATAGTAATCTTTGTTGAATTTATGCTGGTCAAGGTCTGTATGTTTAAAGCTGGTTTTATTTTGATATTTCATTTTGAATAACAATTATATTAAATTAAATGATTTTTATATGTTTGTGTGATAAATGCCAATAAAAACAGGTCTGATTCTCTATAGTGACTGGAATGTGTGAGTTTGTCATGAAAGGATTTAATTTGTATTCAGACCCTAACACTGAATTATTTGCATTCTTTGTACATTATGGGATTTCAAATCTCTACTTCATAAAACATTCACCTTTAACGTTTTAGGATTCAAAATATTACCAATAGCTACTAAGTTTTCTAGCTGTTTAACTCGATCTTCAGCAATATGAACAGTGTCTAATCTTAAAATATATTTTAATATTTTCTTAATATTTGTAAACGCGTGTTTATATTGGTTGGCGACGCTAATATTGAATAGGTAAATAGTAGTAGTATAATATGCTAAACCAGCATATGCTGGTTAGGTAAGTTTTGAAGCTGCGATGCTGGTTTAAGCTGGTCCTTAGCTGGTCATGTGCTGGTTAAACCAGCAAAGGACCAGCATAAACCAGCAAAGGACCAGCTTAAACCAGCAAAGGACCAGCATAAACCAGCAAAGGACCAGCTTAAACCAGCAAAGGACCAGCATAAACCAGCAAAGGACCAGCTTAAACCAGCAAAGGACCAGCATAAACCAGCAAAGGACCAGCTTAAACCAGCAAAGGACCAGCTTAAACCAGCAAAGGACCAGCTTAAACCAGCAAAGGACCAGCTTAAACCAGCATCAAAACATACCTAACCAGCAAATGCTGTTTTTTTCAACAGGGATGACACATCAAAATTAATTCTCTCGCTTCCTGTCAAGTTTCTGTTCTTGATGAAGATGGGGTTTTTCCATGGCTGTTGAGCACAGACAGTAGGAGGACAGAAGTCAGTCAGAGTTGGAAAAAATGGCCAACCCTAAAGTCCAGAAAAGCGGTGACCACCATCCCATTGGTTTTTCCAAAGACAATAATGAGTTACAATGCTGTGCATTGTGTTTTTACTTTATGATGCTAATATGTGAACACAAAGCTTTATGTGTCCATAAACTTAAATGTGACCATAAACTGCATTACCAACATATCCCATTGTATTATGGCATATGACAACACAATGAAACACAATGCAACAAGTAGGAGGTTCAACCTTAGATCCCGACGGCGTTTATATCACTTCAATTAATTTACGAAGCGCAGATTGTGTACAGATCATAAATCATAGACAACTATGAAACCAGAAGCGCAGATGTAGAATGAACAATCAGAACAAGGCGGGAAATGAAAGATTGAAAAGTTACATTGTAGCCGGATACATTCTAACAAAAGCTCAAACCGGGAAGTTCGTTTTATTTTGAGAGCTTTCGCCGCGAACGGATCTTTTATCTTTTGTTAACGCGACTTCGAGTTAGCTTCTAGCTAAACCGCTATTTTTCCGAGATAATATTTAAGTATTTTAGATTAGAAATGTTGTTTGGTGGTTTGAAACAAAAGCCTTTTGACTTCCAGCCACCCGGAAAGTTTCTGTTCGCCGCCGCGAAGCTAAAAACGACTCGAATAAATGAAATAATCAAAACAGCCGTCAAACTTACCGTGGTGTGTGTATGTTGTGCCGAATGAAGCGTCTCATGTTAATAAGTTAATAAATGTGGCAGCTGGTCGATTGTCTCCGTGTGTTTGTGCAAACGTGTATGCGGCTCCGCCTCTTCATCAAATAGATCGTCTCTTCATCAAACTCATCCAGACAGGTTTATTTCCATCCCTGAGGCCACTTTAAAAACACAACACACAGATATGAGTCCGGAGAGGACACACGGACATGGTGAATGCGATCTCTACAACCACACAGTGAGGAAAACTTGTCTCGTGCGAACAGATGCTGAACAGCGACGCCCTGCGGATGGAAAAAGAACGGCAGCCACAGGGTAGCTGTTCCTTAAAGGACTAGTTCACCCAAAATTGAAAATTTGCTGAAAAATGTATACTCATCCCCAGATCATCCAAGATGTAGATAAGTTTGTTTCTTCATTGAGATCTGGAGAAATGTAGTGTTCCATCACTTGCTCACTAATGAGCAAGTAATTCTGCAGTGAATGGGTGCCGTCAGAATGAGAGTCCAAACAGCTGATAAAAACATCACAGTAATCTACAAGTAATCCACACCACTCCAGTCCATCAGTTAACATCTTGTGAAGTGAAAAATGTGTAAAGTTTGTGTTTGTAATAAAAAAATAAATCATTAAGGTGCTTTTTTCAAGTTAAAACATGAGTCATTCTATCCATAAAATTGCTTTCCCCATGCAGTGACGCGAAAGAAGTCCAAAACAGCTCTGTTAAGATAACATAAAATGGACTATTTCACTGTAGGAAGCGTTATTATGGATTATGGACTCATATTTTGACCAGAAGGGATGGTTTAAAGTTAAAAACACCTCAATAACGGATTTGTTTCTCACAAACATGCAGGTTTTGGCTTCACAAGAGATTAATTGATTAACTGGAGTGGTGTGGGTTACTTGTGGATTTTTATCAGCTGTTTGGACTCGTATTCTGACGGCACCCATTCACTGCAGAGCATCCATTGCTGAGCAAGTGATTTAATGTAACATTTCTCCACATCTGATGAAGAAACAAACTCATCTTCATCTTGGATGGCCTGAGGGTCAGTACATTTTTTTTCCTGTTTCCGGTTTCATTCTGTCAATTTAATTTAATGTTACTTATTTGACTTATTATTACCTTATTTTACTTACATTAGTAATATTTCTACATATGCATGTTATGCATATTTATTTTGCATTATTCACATTGATCTGCAAAGGTTTTGGCAATAAAGCACAATCCTCAGTTCTGAGTTAACACGAGGTTTGTATGCAGACTTTATTTTTAAGAGCTGTCGGTCTGGTAAAGGTGTGCAAAGTGCAAACCCTTGTGGTTGAATGTGAGTAGTACAGCTTGTCTGAAAAAAAAACTCAAATGTAATGACATAAAAACTACAGCTAGATGTCAGTACGAAATCAGATATCCTGAACAAGTCTGTCAGACCAGACAAATGGTTTGTTTAATACGGGAGAGCCTAAAGCCGGGCATACACTGCGATTTTCGTCCGATTTTGAGCCGTGTTTTGGCTCGTGCGACTCTTTTTTTTTTGATTCGGGCCGAATTTCAGCGTTGTCGTGCGTCGTTTGTCGTGCAGTGTTCGTGGAGTGTACAGGGGGAAACGAGAAGCGACAAGTCTCTAAGGCAATCGGACTGTCGGATGAATTTCTGTCATGTCAAAAATTGTGGTCGTCCCTCGTGAGGGTATCGCACAGTTGAAGCAGAGCTACGAACCGACTGCCCTAAGCTCGGTGCTCTTTCCCTCACTGCGCCTGCGCGAAAATAGAACTTTAACCATTTAATCTTTAATGCAGCAAGAAAGAAAACGAAAAGAGGGAGATCTTTTGATAAAATAATATTATCATCACGGGAAATGTAAACCATTGTCCATCATTTTGCAATTAGTGATAAAGACAAACACGTCGCAAAATTATAAATATTTCAGTTTCATACCATGAAGGCGAGCCAGTGCATGCCGCACAAACAAGCAAACTGCATGAGTATTATGCCCGTAAAGAAGTTTTAAACTCCAGTCAATTCATTAAGCTACAGAAAGTGAAAGTAAAACCTGACCGAGCTGTCAGTATCTACCGGCACATATTCTCAGAGGAGACACATATTGGGTATTGTCTTAATTTATTTTCAAAAAAAGAAAAAAAATCTCTTATGGCTGATATAGGGCCTACGTAGTGAAACAACAACAACAACAGAATTGAAGTATTTCGTGTTAAACAAGTGTTATATTTTCATTGATGACTGATTATTACAGTGTTCGGACATAGGCTACTTCAGACGGAATTTTAATTATATGCCTATTCGTTGTGTAATATATCTAAATGTTTAAAATCATTTTCAATGAGGAGTATAAGCTAATTTAATCATTTATTATCCGCGCGTCAGTTGTGCGGCAATGAGCTATGAAATTATTGCGGGGCAAATGAATTGTAGTAGACCTATACATTTAATAATAAAAGCACCATAATAATAATAGTAATGATAATAATTTAATTAATTAATTGGAAATGCCAAATCCTCTCGATATCATAGCTGAGTTTTTTTTTATCTATTTTTTTTTTTTTGTTATCTCTGGCTATGGTCCATATACAGTTCATAGTTTGCGCAACTGTAGTATTTCAGACGTATAGTGTGAGCACATAAATCGTGCTCGACACTCGGACCTTACAGTACAGTGTGAGCACGTAATGCCGAGTTCACACTGCACGATATTAGCCCGATTTTTCACTCGCCGACAGGTTTTGCGAAATCGCCACAAATGCCGGACATCGGAGGCAAATCGGTGCTCGTTCACGCGAGTGACAATCACGCAGTGTGAATTATCAAAGACGCGATCTGAGGGAATCGCCGACGCCCGTGAAATATTTGGCATGCTAAATATCTGGAGCTGTC